GTGTGTGTGTGAGAGACCATTAGACCACCACCAGCCATGGTTTCCCTAAACTTCTCAAATGATTTCATTACAGAACTGTTTAAGGTCCAAAGCAACATGTACATTGTACAGGAACACACAAGTAGGCATGAGGAGTCCCAAAGAAGGTTTTTATTTACCCCAGAAATGAAAACCCCAAAACAAATGGCAATAAGAGTGAATTGGCCCATAAATACACCACCTAAACACAGCAAACAAACTGAACAGAACAAACAAAGAGCAAATTGACCACACAGGAAAACATATATGATAGCTGAACAGACCAACAGTCATTAGTCAAAACAAAAGTATCAAAGCTTAATATAACCTAAATCAATAAACATACTATCTCCAGGAAAAATTTTTAGGAGCATTTCTCTGATAATCCATCTGTGCTTTGACTTGTTTGTCTCCTGTTTCACAAAATGTTTATTCTCAAGCTTCTCACTTGCATGTGCAAGTTGTAAACCGCACAAGGGCTTTGTGATGAAAAATGGTTGAGACATAAGTGCTCAGATGAAACACTGATAACCGATCAATGTTTTCAACTTCAAAAATGCAGTAACCAAATATGCAGCAACTGATGCTGTGCAAAGAAGAAAAAGAGAGGAGACGTTAGAAACTACTTTAGCAAGCAGCACCTTACTGTAAATCTTATGGTGTTCCATGAAATCATGCATGAAGAAGACACAGCGATCTTAATATGTCTGCAGACTTTAGCTACTTAGCTAATCACTCTATCTAAAGTACTACCAGCTCTTAAATGTAACCTCCTTTTTTTTTTTTTTGGCTTCACTAATCAGCTGCAACATCACACAGCAGCAGCAGGATCGATATAATCTCTAAATTGAAAGAGTTGCTGCGTGCAATTTACGCGTGTGGCACAGCAGGTGACTTCACTCATTATTTCAATTTTCTGATATGTCACTATGATCTTATGTAGTAGTTTGTTCAAGCTAACAGCTGAGCTGCTGCACAGATTCACAGTTTCCACAGTGAAATCAGCAGGTCGAGTTCAGGATGAATCACCGCCGTCAAACCTGTCAACACATTTTTCTTTTCAGCAGATACTGTTTCCTCTGGACAATTTTTGGGGGCCAAACGAAGCAGATTATTACAGAGTGTTTTCAGGTTTGCTGCTTAAATGCAATAATGTTTGCAGTGGTGGTATTACTGCAAGCATGAGTTGATCTAATCAGATAAGTAAATGAAAAAGAAGGTAGCAGACAGCCGGCCTATGAAAACACAATTTATTTACTTTTGTTGGGTCAATGCAAAGCCGTGTCTGTTTTTATGCATAGCGGGGATATTTGTGTTTCCTGAACCATAAATTAAGTGCAAATGATAATATTAAAAAAAAAGGTACATCACTGCAGTGTATTATGGTTTAGGCCTATAAACTGGCTGTTGTGTTATTGCTCTTTGCTACTTTAAAATGCTTCAGGTTAAGTTTTTTCCTCACATTCCTTTACCATGTTGTCTCACCCAAGTTACTGAAAGAAATAAAAAGCACACAAATACAATAAAACAAAAAATCCGAATGCTCTGGCTTCTCACAAGAGGAATGTGGCGATTTAGACAGATTTAATTTGAGACTCTGAAATGCCACCAACGCAGCGGTGGAGATTGAAATTTAGTTTGTGGTTCAGCATTAAAAAAACTACCACTCAGAAAACTCAGCTCAGATATGTCTTTCTGGAAGCAGAACAGCTATTCTCTGGACAATCCACATCAACAGAACGCAACATCTATTTCTACTGTCTGCAGTCGGTGGACCATATTCGACTATCAAAGTTTCAGCGGATGAAGGTGAAAGCAGCCCTCTAATGTCAAACTCTGCAT